AGACATGCGTGGCTGTTCACCAAGTCCGGGCAAGATTTGGTGCGAAGTGCACAACCTGGAAAGAGCGGCGGGGAGGATAGGATAATATAGGGGCCTTAATGATTAGAATAGGGCTTTGGGGCCCATTATACTGTATATACTTTTTGTCTTATAATAAGGAACCCCCCCCCCAAAAAAAAAAAAAATACTATTGGTAATTCTTGAGGCCCCTTCATAAGGGGGGGTAACTCTAGCAGAGGAGCTGAGTCCTGGTTTACACTCGCTCTACAAGTTGACTCAGTTCAACCACCAAGGCCTGCCTGATTTCAATGTCGGTATCCACAAGTGGTGCTATCCAACTGCTGCTGCCCTGCCTTATGGCATCGGCGAGAACCATAGATCCTCTTGTCGCACGATTTTGGGTCGCAAACCAAATTCTCACGACCCGGCGCAGGCTACAAACCCGACAAACAAACAGGCTGACAGACAGAGAGTTAGACAGTCAGCCAGCCAGGCGGGCAGGGAGGCAGGGAGACAGACACACAAATTGCAATATCTTTCTCAACAGCACCGGTATCCAATCCGGAAGCTGGAAACTAGGGCTCACTGTTTCTCTTCCGAGTACCACCTTGATTAGGCTTCGAGCCTCTTATCAAGCTCCCTCATCCGATGTTAGCAAACGTCTAGATTCTAAACCCTAAACAGCACTGATACCTCAAGTGTGTTTCATTTGTTTTTGCTACAGGCTTGCGACGCGAAGTTCTAAATCCTCAACCTTGAAGCAAAATACTCACCGACACATCAACAGCAAAAGTAGCAACACAACCCATCAACCGCGCCAGCATGCCCGGCACGAATCGCCATGGTGAGAACTGACAACAATCTCTACATCAAATTTAGAGACCTTGCGGCCCCTTGCTTTGCAATTCTAATAATTAGGGCTTCTTGTAATAAGGGGCCCTTGACTAAGGCTGAAGCTAGCAGGAGAGCCTCCCATCCCAAAGATTCGGCTCTGGCACCTTGCGTGCCACAGGCAGCATGCAGAAGCCGACGCCTTCAGCCTCACAGTGAACATGGCAAGAGGGCCAGAAGATAAGGTTTAAAGCTTGAGGGGTCTAGAATCTAGAAAACGAAGTGTCGACTGGAGGATGCAGACTCACTGCATAATAAAGCGTTTCTGACCAAACCTACATGGAGCACTGAATCTTCCTGAAGAGCTGGAACGAGAGACAAGCAGCCTGGATGGTACGCTCTCCAGGCGGCGCACACTGATCCACACAGTCAGGAATACCAATGGTACCGTTCCTTTCTGCTTGGCAGGGGAGGAAGCTTTTCTGACTTCACACTGGACTCTCAAACCCTCCGCTCAAGGGGCCAAGAAGTGGTCTTGCAGCTTGAGGCAGGATCCCATACATGGACCCTGTGCCATTTAAGATCCGGTAATTAAAGACGTGTATACAGGTTTCGTGCAGGGTCTTCCGGGGAATCGTCGGGTCGTGAAGGCCGATGTTGGTCAAGCCACGGCCTTTTGAGGCACCTTGGATCACTATACCTGGTGAACGTTGTCTCACGGAGGAAGTCCAGTGCTACTCTAGCAGAAGTCTGCCGACTGCTGCAATCGCGTCACCACCAGATTCTGTGACAAAAGGCTTTCAATTCACGACCCGTGGCAGATACGAGCCCGGCAAAATCAGCAAGCAGAAGAATTTACTTCGGCTCAGCATCGTGAGATCCAGGAGCTTCCCAGAAGTGAAACATCGCTGCATCCGCACCTGGCATGAGGGCTCAACAGAATCCAACCCCTGAGCCGCATGTCTGCACTCCAAAGCCCGACATCAAACCCCTGACTCTCTTGCCAGCAAGAGCCCCTCATGCATCCTTCAATGTAGGTCGTCGTACATACCTGCGTGCGTAAAGTTACAATGTATACGTAGCTGTTTGATAGCGTACATACATACATACATACATACATACATACATACATACACTACAATGCATGCATGCACGCATGCATACATACATATACTGTCTCTAAACATATAAACAAGTAAACAAATAAATACATGAATACGTATATATATATATATATATATAAATATAGATGTGTGTGTATGTATGTGTGTATGTATATGTTTATATATATATATATATGTATATATATATATATGTGTGTGTGTGTGTGTTGGTGTGGGTCTGCGCGTACTTGTCAATCTCTTGGTCTGTTTAATTACAAACAGACACATATACGGATATTCCGGCACCGAACAGAGGCAGACAGAGACAGAGATAGACAGACAGACAGACAGACAAAGACAGAGAGAGAGGCAGCCAGACAGACAATCAGTAAATACAAACAAAAAATAGCTGCCTACGTACCGACATATATCTACCTACATGCAAACAGACGTGCATACATACATACTTATATACATTCAACTAACTAAACCACAAGTAGGTATATACATATATATATATATATGTTAATATCATATACAGACACACACACACACACGCACACACAGGAGCGCATGCTTGGTTGATTCATCAGCATGTCGACTGCTTGCGGCCCAGGGGCGGCTGGACTCCGATCCCACCGGTCCCAAGTTTGTTGGGCAGGTGCGGCCAAGACCAAATGAAGAAGCCTGGGTTCTGGCTGTATAGGGTTTCGGACTCAGGTTTCAATTCGGGTCTATGCGACTCCTGGAATTGACTTGTCCTACCATCACTCTTCGAGGTGAAGCAGTAGCTGCGGACAAAGGTTGCAGAAGTATCTTTTCTGCGTCTGAAATCAACGCCATGGTATCGGCTGCACTTGCAACAGAGACGTTGCGTGCAAGAAGCGCCGACAGAAAAAAACGGTGCGTCATGAACCTCTATATCACCCTAAACACCTTCACTTAACCTGCTAATCTTGGGAGTCATAGGGTTTAGAGTTTAGGGTTTCGGGTTTAGGGTTTAGGGGTTTAGGGGTTTAGGATTTAGGGTAGCCGGAGACGGAGTGGTGCATCATAGCAACTGGCACAGACAAACTCCTCGTTGGAAGCATCTCTGGCCTCTCCTGCTTGAGCTGCTTCGAGCCAGAAACGGAGCACAAGTCTCACCGGCCCCGATATATATATATATATATATACACATATTAATATATATATATATATGTATATGTATGTGTATATATATATATATATATATTCAGTCAGTTAAAACACTTCCAGATGTGAAGGTATGGTACCTGACCCAAATCTGTCCTCACCACCATGGCTGCTGGCAGCGGCCAGAAAGGAGGAGGGTTCTCTACTTCACAACTTACTAACTGGTATTTCAACACCTTTTTGCGGATGCTACTACTAGTAAGTACCATGTATAGTGCAGACTGCTGATCAATGCTATTCACGGAAACTGCTCCGTTTCCCGAGGTGGGCTGAGGACTGCGGGAGGATCTGGAGAGAGCTGGGAAGTCAGGAGCTCCCTGCACGATACCCGACGGTGGTGCTCTCCCCTACAGGTGCATGGGTGGATTGAGGGTAATTAAACTAACGCCTTCGGAGGCGAATGAGCCAAAACGTAGTACGCAGCAACACCACAGCAGTGACTGCAATGGGCCTGTGGCAAGACCGTCTACAGTGCGAAAACGCAGCAACATGAGAGAGTATGGATGCTTACACCACCTCAATCCCAAAATTTGTGCAGGAAGCACACCGAAACCCTAAAATCCCCACCTCACAGACTTCCCGGATCCCCGTCTCAGCTTCAAGTCTGTGTAGGAAGCAAACTCTCTCCTTTCATAGCCAAATGACCATTCTCATGTTCCACCGGAGCCTCGCCTACCCTTGCATCCCAACATCTCTACTGTATGGCGGTACAAAGTTTTAGACACTATATACCTTAACGCATACGCAGTAAGTATTTAGTGCCAAGTAGAACATCGCAGCATAACGGTTCTGACAATGTGATTCTACCATATACTTGCAATTCAGGGCAGCAGGGCTCTCCGAGTTGACGGCAGAGGTGCCCATCGCATCATCACAGGGAGCAGGTCGGACTGTTGTAGTGAAGGGCTGTACAGTGCTCATCTGCGGACAAGGGTATACGAAGGGCAAAATGATCCTGGTATGATGATGATGCGGATTCTATGATGGGCTTAGAGGTCGGGAGGAGATGTATGCAAGGCACTCGGCATCAGCTCTTTCACCTGGTCGGTCACTCGCGAGAGCATGTTATTCTGAGTTGTGGGAGCACGTCACACCGTAATGAACCCAAACCTCCGGGCGGCTCTGCTGCTCCTACTCCCTGCTTGAGCTCAGAGACGGCACTGCAGAGAAGTCAAAGGTAGGTCGGTGCCTGATGAAACTCTCGAGCTGAACTTGACGTAATGCCGGTCCCGAATCCCGGGAGGCAGCAGGCGGGGTTGTCCGGTAGCTTGCCTGCGAAGATCCCTCTGCCCTCTTCACTGCTCTTTACATCCCGAGCCTCCCAGAAAACACGCTAAGTCGGGAGAGGGATGTGGCTACGAAGCTCCTAGCAACGAGTACTCAGTAACCTAAGTTTACACAAAAGTTAGACATGTCACGGAACACTGCTGAAGACCCGTGCTTGGCACGGATAGCCTCGAATGATTCGCAACAGCCCTCCAGCCTCTCATGACAGTTGACCAAACAAGCATACCTCACTGAACCCACAGTAGATGCAGAGCAACAGCGGAACTGAAGCCAGGTCACTTGCTGCAGAGCGCCCTGCCTACTCCTGATTGCTGTCCCGCTTTTTCCAGCCGCTGTTGCCACAGAGCTCGCGCCTTGACGTAGCTTAGTGTAGAGTCATCTGCAACGGCGCAGCCCTTATCAGCTGCTTCCATCGTCCCATGCGTGCACTGTGTGCGAAATAACTAAACGAATAGCAGGCGGCATGAGCGCAGGGGGTTGGAAAAGCTGCCCCTGCGCTCAGGGAAGAGATGCCTGGTGCTGGCCAAAACTGAGGGATGGCGTACTTTGACGCACGCATTCGCAAGCAATTGTTGACCCCGATGTTTACAGCCGCTGTTCAGGGCTGCTGGGAGTACGTCCCTGGTCTGAAGTCGATGCGACCACCACATCATCAAAACAACGGCCTGGCTGGCCGTCTGCCCGCTCATCGATGAAGCGACGACTGCGGCGAAGCCATGCGCACAGCTTGGCTGCAATTTGATCGCTTTGATCGCCTAGCAATGACTCTGCAGAAGAGAAAGAGGCACCTCCAAGCGCTTTGAGGTGACTCGGATAAAGATTTGCAGGGCATATGCTGACACAAAGCTCCTTGGCTCTTGGGCGTCCTCTCGAAAACTCACATGCTTTTGGATCCTTAGGCTTCACCTCTGAAACAAAGATCCAAGAGCTTCTACGAACTTCTATGTCCGATCCAGGCTCCGTAAGGCAGATTCCAGATGCCCGCGGCTCCCCCTCGGAGTGTGCCAGCAAATACCGGCCAAAGATGGACTCCAGAATCTGCATCTGCTCCGCATTATACCTTGCTTCTTCTCCGCAGGTGAACAGTTTTTGCGTCTTAGTCCTCATGAGTGCAATTACAACACCTTTGCTTTAACCACAAGAACTTCTGCAAAGCATGAAAGTCGAAGAGGTGAGGTGCGGGAAAAGCGCTAGCCCGTTCAGTGGCCAATCCTCGGTGGCCAAGACGGTGGTACCGCCCAGGAGCAGGGCCGTCAGGAGAGCCGGGAGGCTCCACAGGCAAGCAACATCATGTGCGGAGCTGGGGAGGAGGGCCAGCATGTAGCAGGGGATGGAGAAGGGGAAAACAACGCCCAACAGAGGAGCCGCGAACACATGAAAGCCACAAGCCGCAGCGCAGGCTAAATAAAGGGCCACTTGGCCGCCAGACAAGCAAGCGAGCACCACGAGGAACTGCATGGCCAGGCCTGCCCAATGCAGTAGAGCCAACAGCAATGGGTGACGAAGGCACAAGTCCATCATCCAATGCTGCCTCATCCATGGCCTTGGGTCGTGCTACATTCGTGGCCCTAGAGGACTGTGGCTCGTCACAAATCTCAAGCAAAGCGGCGGCTCCACGACACGGTGCGGTTTGAAGGGCAGCTCCTGATCGCGGGCAAAGCGTATGTGCGACTCCAGAGTGCTAGGATCCAACCACTTCCAGCCACCAATCCGCAGTTTGTTGAGGGCCGGGGAGCCCAGCTGGTGTGCCACAATGAGCCGCAGGACCCCTGCACGCGCACTGCCAGCGGGCAAAAGCATGGCGAGAGCTGTGTAAAGGAAGATAAAGCCCGTGTGACCGCCATAAGCCGCGAAAGCCACGAAGTCTGCGAGGAGTACGAAGATGCCGTATGCTGCTCGGAGCCAAAAGACCTGCAAAAGGGTCATTATGACGATGCCATTAAACCCGAGCGCATGCCCCCAAGGCCTCTACCAGGTCTGTCGCAAGGAGCATGCCCAGGACCGTCATGCAGAAGATGAAAAGCCGACACCACTTCCGCGCTGCACGCAGGAGCCACACCGGCGCCCAGGAGGGTCGGCGCAGCACAGGGGAGTCCCTGCTCTCTTCCGCGAAATATGCCCATGCGATCAAGGTTGCCACGAAGTACCACAGCCGATCCGGGATGCACATACTTGTAGGCGCTTGCTAGGATCAAGCTAATTTCGCCCTCGCGTCTCAGCTGAAGCCAAAGCCAAGTCGGGCATAGGCCATGTAATGATCCTGCGACTACTCACATGTATCGCTCAATGGCAGGACCAGTTAACGAAGTTGGCTACATACCAGCCACAATACCTTCCATTTCCCGCCATAGTCTTACTGTGGTTCGCCCGGTGCCAGTTGTCTTGAGACATGAGAAAATGATGCAGCTGAAGAGTTCTGTCGCTGCAACCAAACCCGGGGGGGCTCTTTGCAGGCCCAGGCGAATCAAAGGTTTAAGTTGGCAGCCATTTCCTGCGCACCCTAGACCCTAAATTGCCAAACCGCAGCGGGCCGTGAAGCAAACTCAAGTTTTCATGTAGTCGTCAGACCGTCGCACATCCGAGGCCTGACACGTGTCGAAGGGCTCGAGAATCTTTTCCCGATGCTGCGACCCGACCATTGTCTTAGTAATAAGCGAATTTGACATACACCTGGTGTGGGTGCTGCCAGGAAGGCATTTGGACACGTCCTCTCAGCTGGAGCGGTGGCGACACTCTCTCGTCCGAAAGCTTCATTGACAGGATGATGGCTTGGGCCGTTAGACCATGCCTTGCAAGGCTGTATAACAAGACCGTGTTACAGGAATTCAATCACTTGCCGTTCGAATGCTGCCACCATCCAGGGAAACACTGATACGTGCACGGACGAGAAGTCTACCTGGGAAGAAACGAAAGGCGGCTGCAGGGTTTCTGGTCTCCTGCCTTTGAATTACCAACCCAACTTCAAGCGCACCGGCTTACAGAAGCTTCCATGCTGAGCATGGAAAACTTGTTGGTGTGGAGCAGGGACATGAGCTCACTCTGGCCTGTCTGGGGGTACCAAAACCCCTGCAACAAGTCATCGGCACCCATACTTCAACGACTTTCGCGACCCTAAGCCCGAACTCCCAAATGCTGATCCTTAAAAAACTAAACCCTACATTCTAAACCTTAGAGACTCGGGGTGAACACTATCAGCTCATGCCCGGCAGTTGATCACTGGAAGCATCCCACCAGAGGCAACGGCCTCCCTACCTTGGTCGGTTCTCCGTTCCGACCATTTTTGGCGAGTGAGAACAAGCTTCTCGGGTATATTCTACTAGCGTGGCTGTACTGGCAGTAGACGAAATGAAGCCAGCTGTTGTAAAAACTTATTCGGAACCCCCTCCCCCCACGTAGTCAAGAAGGCAAATAAAAGCTTTCACTCAGATCCAGAAAGAGGCAAGGCGCCCTTTTACAACTAAGTTCAGCTGACAAACGGATCCCAGAGACTCCTCGACTCGACTGCTCTGGTTTTTTCAGTCCATGTGGACTTAAGCACATAAGAGAGTCTCTCCCCTCCCCCTCTCTCTCTCCGTATATGTATGTATATATATATATAGATGTATGTATGCAGTATAGACTTGTAGACCTGCCTATGGGCTGCACACACATGCCTATATGATGTGCGTTTCAATCGGGAGATGTATGGTTCGGAGCCCTGCTTGAATAGCGGCACCTGACGGCGATACATGCCTAGGGGCCCAAATAATTACCTATACTATTTTTGGGGTTCCTTATTAGAATTATAGTATAATGTGCCCCAAAACCCTATTATAGTTTGTCCGAAGGTACAAGCATTCTCCAGTTGATTGGCTGCCCTCTCGACGTCTTCACAATCACCTCAGCTGGGCACATTGACTGTGGAGAGAATTTGCTGCCAAACAATTTGAATATAACCCTAAACCCTAAACCCTAAACCCAAAACCCTAAACCCTAAACTTTAACCAAGTGATGTAGAGAAGAGACTTTCCGCTCCCGTCCCCCTCACCTCAAAACATAAATTACGTGTATCTGAAAGTCAGGCATATGCTCACTGCCGGCAGCCGGTCGCAGTCACTGAAGTTTGAATGCGCGAAGCAAGCAAGCCTAGCTCAAGCCAGCCAAAACCTTCGTTTGACTGGTACGTTCGAAGTTCTCAGACGGGCTGCTGTCCTCTGCATTCTCCAGCATGGCTTGAATGACCGTGCCGGCAGGACCCATGTCCCTGACAGTTGTGTTGGGCTTGATTGTTTCAGTGGTAGACAGGCTGGATGATAGTCCATGGCACGAAATCCGTGCAAACACTCTTCTACGTGATGTGATCAACCCTCTAAGCCAAAACCAACCTTGGCCCATGCGGACCAAAGGGTCAAATTCTTCAGCAGGGGAGCCGGTACGTCGGGTTCTGCGGCCAGCCTGGGTTCCTTGTTCGGGACGCTACGGCGTCAACAAGTTGGCTCGATACAGGCCACTGGCCACTGAAGGGGTAGCAGGATACAGGAGGAATCTGCAGTTGGAAGAGACCCAAACCGAAACCCAAAGCAATATATCACACCGGGCTCTGGCTTCAGGTACATGTACTTGTTTACCACCTTCATTTATTTGTGTCTTGCGCTCCCATGTAGCATGGCTTCCGCCGCGGCCTCTTGAGAACACAGTATTGGCAAAGGTTTCTGTGAATGGCCATTCGTCTATGTGTGCACACACCCATAGTCCATATATATATATATATATATAAGTTATATATATATATATATATACATATACATACATATCAATATAAGCGTATATACAGATAAACATATACATCTGTGTATGTGTGTATGTGCATACTCATGTACGTGTGTATGCATGTATGTATGCATGCATGTATGCACGCACGGATGCATGGATGGATGGAAGGGTGCATGTGAGTACGGTTAGGCCGGCTCATGGGCCCTTAGACTTTCAGGGCGGGGTTCCAAAGCCGAAAGGCTTAAACTTTACAACTCAGCAACTAGACACGTACACTACCAAAAACCTCCTTTCAGAAACAGACACGAGTACACCAACAGTGAATTGTCATGGCAGGGCCAAGTTCAATATGCAGTGCATGGCATAAAGCTTTGCTTACGAAGAAGTGCCTGCCTGTACATTTCTGGCTGCTTTTGGGCTTTGTTTTGATTTTGGTTGTGAGAGAGAGAGAGAGAGAGAGAGAGAGCGAGAAACCGACAAAGGCTCTGATGCTCGTAAACGACAGCCCAGGCGAGGCAGTCACCCCAGCGCCCAGCAACGAAGCCAGTGCTCGGATTCACCTCCGGTGGGCCCCGACCTTCGTGGAAGAAAACGTACGACCTACAGGCTGAGGTATCCCATCTAACAACTCTCTGCAAGGGTGGTTGTGTAGGGACTTTTGCGGTTGAAACAGAAGACGGCCAGGGAACCCGGCGAAATTTCAACCGACTGTAACAGCCTAGATGGATGTGGGGAGCTGAGGGGCATTGTTTTACTACATTGTTGCAAGGGAGTATTGGGAAAGTCGTCTCCGGTGAGACCAGGCCAACCCATCAGTCCCTCCTGTCAGACCAGCTCGGTTGTTTCCCTCCTGTGTAGCTAACTGCGTCGCCGTGCGGGGACAACACGAAACTATACTGTATAGCGGGGTGCCAGTGCTGGGGTCAACTAGCAGTCCTGGAGAAAACGACCCGGCCAGGTTTTTCTCTCCCAGTTGCCAAGAACAACCCACATAACAGGGTGGTGCAAGTAACTTCGAGTGTCTCGTCATCGCCTGGCAGGGTTGGGAATTTGAGTCTAGCCCGGAAGCTCCCACACCCGACAAGCTTCACGACAGGATACTGGAAGCATGCATCATTAACAGTACGGTGTCGAATCGAGGCCCCTTTAGACTCGGGACAAAACCACAAAGGCACTGGCAAAGGCTTTCATCAACGAAATGAATGAAGCCAAAACATAAAAGCAAAAAACTGTCCCAACATCCAGGATCCAGCGGCAGTAGTTGGCCCAGGTCGCGCCGCCTGGCGCCGCTGTGTCCATAAAGGCCGTGTTGGTCTGGCCCGGTGCCGGAGCCTTCTCGCGAAGGTGATGGGCCGGAAACCGTATAGCTTGTGTGACCTTTAGTCCCTACATAATCGACCATATTTTCGCTGAAACTCTACTCGAATCATTAATTGTTAAGACACGTGGGTGTAAGGCTTGACCCTACCGTCTGTTTCGGTCGCTATCACGGCGTCCTTCGAGCTTTGACGGCACACAGTCAAACACCCTCGGACATTCCAGGCGAACCTTCTCATCTACGAAAGTCAGACATAAGTCGAGCAGGATGAATGCTTAGACGTGACTAGCATAATCCTTGACAAGAGTATGGTGACAGTTAAAACCTTTTCTATGCCACGGCTGCCTGGCCCTGCCAATAGGGGTTATGGCCGCCGTGGTGGACCATCTGAACTGACTCGCTTTCCTCAGGTGCTCGGGAGTGCGAGCGACGTGGGAACTGCAAGGGTCAGAATTTCCTGGAAATGTGACGGCTTTCAATACATGAGCAATGGAGATTTGAGGCAGTAGCGAAATATCAAACCCAGCTTTGCGGCAGTCCAATCTGCAACAGCTTCTGGTGCCGCGTGAACTGAACATGCAGACCCGGCGCAAGCTGCAGCTCGAAGCTGCAGCACACCAAGCACTCGAATAATCTTGCAGCACGAAACGTTGAACATGCCAGGTCACTGAATCACTTGAAGAGGAGTCACCAGAAAAGCCCCACTTGGATGGCCTTTGCATGCATGCTGGATCATGCTGGGAAGGCCGGGAGAACTGCGACCTCTTCGTTGGGGGAGTATGTGGAGAAGCCACCGCTGAAGCCTAAAGTCAAACCTTAACTCTCAGATCCTACTAACATTAAGCAACCTGTACAATCCCAAAACCCTTCGCCTGAAATGCCGAAACGTTGGGGGTTTAACCCCAAAACCACATGATTCCTTGATCTGGAGAGCTCGGAATGAGGATAGAAAGGCTACTTAAGCTGCCCACAACCCATTCTCAGAAGGGATCCTACCCGTTCTATCCGAAGGTTCAGTCCAGAAGAGCAGTTAGTAGTTACTAGGTCAGATATCCGCACTGTCTTGCAGCCGAAGCCTCAGAAAAACCGAAACCAAGTTGGTTCCGAGGTGCTTTTTGCCGCTCGCGCAGCTGCAGCAGACGCAGAAGCCGCAGCAGCAACAGAGGGCCAACACGGTGCCGAGCCACTAGGGTCACAGGGTTGCAAGACTGTTGTTGAGGATAGTTGAGTTGTACTCGTTGCAGCTGTAGCAATCCGGCACGTTGTAATGCATTGCTAACTATTGTAGTGTTGCAGGGGTTTTCACCCGTCCGTGTGCTGTGTGAAGAGACTTCACTGGGGGAGGCGTTTGCGGTGGCTGCAGTATCAAACCCCCAATCGGTTCAAACGCACGTGCTGATCGGCAAACCGTAGCCAATGCGAGCAGGCTACGGCAAAGAAGCCACTGCCACTCGAGCTGCTCGACTGCTGCCCAGAGTTGTAGCCGTAGTTGGTCGGCTGACTATACCCAGGGCCTGACAAACAGCATCGTGGACATTCTTCAAACGATTACGCCTCACAAAGCCAGGCTTGCAGCAAGTATGGACTCGGAAAAACACCTACTACACAAAAAGCCAGAAGGCCGGAATATCCCATAATCGCCGCTTTATGCAATGGAGCAAAGATATCCCAACCCAGAGTTAATGTTTGGATGGGGTTTTGGTTCCTGAGTAAGACCAACCCACTGCACAGAGCCGAGCAGGCCGGCAAGCAGCCTCTAGATTCTAGATGTCAGCAACCGCTCCACGACCTGGAAACCTGTGCTCCCTGCGTTTCGATGCCTAGGACTCGTCGCCCAGAAAGAACCCCTAAACCAAAAACCTTAGACCCTAAACGTTTTGGAGTTCACAGGGTCCAAGAACGGGAGTCATCAGAATCCCCGTGCAAGGGGCCTGGAACTCCTCCCGAGGACCCCAGGCCCAGCGAGGTGGTGGTCAGGAAGAGGCGAGCCACTGAGGGGTTGCCGGCCTCGGAACTCCATGACCCGAGGGGGTACCTACTATATAGGGTACCAGAGCCCCTAGGGCCCTACATAGTAGGTACTTGGAGGGTTGGGGTTTCATCAGAAGTTGTGGCAGCAGATCGAAACTGTGTCAACTTCATCGGGTCTGCAAAGGCCTCGACGGTATTGGAGGCACTTTTATCTGTCCGGGTAAGGCGCACGACATACAAGCACATAATATTCAAAAAACAGATGAGCAGTTTTGGAAAAACAGAACTGACACAAGTGAACAAGCCAACACAACATGCCCAAGTAAAGAAAGGTGAATAAACAGGTCAATGACAGTAGACACACATATTGAACATCGACTAACCGTGCGGCGCGCCGAAGATGAAAACCCTACATCCGGATCCCCAAACCCCCAGTAACGAAAACAAAAACAAGACTCTGAACCCGAAGGCCTTATGGTAAATCTGCTGAATAACTACTACACCCCAGCGCCTCGAAGTCCCATCTAACGCACAAAACTCCAAGTAGATCGAGGGTCGCTGCCCGGCGTAAGTGGGCATACGCTGGGGATTTGGAAGTCCACTCCTCGGGTTTGGGGTTTCGGGCTCTCTCAGCTCGGACCCTGCAGGCGAAGTTCCGGTTTAAGGTCTCGGGTCTGGGTCTTTGTACAGTCGGCGTTTTTGGTTCAGATTTGGGGATCACCATCGCTACCAGCATATGCTTAGCTTGATGAAACACAGGCTAGGACTGCAGGGTTCTGTACGGTTCTCTAACTCTCAGCGATCTTGGGGGTTTTGGGGGTTTGGGAGTTTAGAACCTGAAAGACTGGAACTGACCTCAATCGGGATTCTGCGGGACTTAGCCATGTCAAAGCAGGTTGAAGCTATCAAGTTTCATGGCACTTCGAGGAGGTTAGGGACATAATGCTACAGGCCTGAGAAAGTGTATATAGATCTCCACATTCCTCCTTCATACATGCCTCAGGCGTCGCTGATGCAGGTTGCCATCGAGATGAACTTTTTACACAGGCTTGATTGGAGCTCGCCCGGCCAATGTCCCTCGTAGCACATCGCAATCGAGATGATCTAAATCCAGGACTGTAGGAGCCCCAGAGACTTGCTTCTGTGTGAAAAGACGCCAAGCCCCAGTTTGCTATATCTATGTATGAATATACGTATATATATATATATATATATGTCTGGTTACTGAAATTCATAATCTTAATACTTTGCTTATGTGTCTAGCTTCGCCAACAGTGAACACCATCCGGCTGACTGGAGTGAAGCCGAAATCTGAAGACTACCGTCCCTAGTGAGGGGCCTTCATAGTTAGAATAGGGTATTCTAGTATAATAAGGAACCCCCAAAAAATAATGTAGGTAATTATTAGGGCCCCTATGTTAGTGCTTATCGACATCCAGGGCACCGCTGACAGATGTAACGGTCACCGTCAGGGGCCAGGAGACCTGCGTCGGGATGAAGCCCGTGCTCATCAGGTCGTCCTTACAGGGAGATGTGGCAAGAGCAGGAGCCTTAATATCTAGAAGCGGGTATTTGGGCTCCGGTAGAGTAGAATTATGATGAGGAGGCTTCCGCGGCGTCGGCTGCGAACTGCAATCTTTAAGTCTTCAAGACTCAGCAAAGGCTGTGGAAGACAGGCGTCTCAGCAGTGGCAGAGGGCGGATTCACTGCTTTCTCCGAATGAGTCAGTCCTTCAAAATGAATTGTACTTTTCACTTCCGCTTAAAGGCAGGTGTACAGCTCTGAATGCATCTTGTGTGCTAAGTTAAGACCGACAAAATAAGGTGCGGCTTTAAGCAGACAATGGGGTATGACTTGAGCTATTTTGTGCCTAGCGACTCGTGTCGCATCGAAGTTGGGCGAGATGCTCACGTCGCACCGATTGGCTCCATATTGCGAAACGCAGGAGTTGCCTTGCACCCGGCATCTCAGAGGCATAGGTTAAGCGGCTAGTTGCCACAATTCCGTCAACGATGCTATCTATCTTGACAAGTATCTTACGACGAAACAAAAACGCATTCGCGGCTTCACCGTCAATGGAACCCTTCTCGGGTAGACACGAAGACGAGCTTGCCCTCCAGCCAGGACTCAGCAGCTGGGGTTGAGCTTTTGGAGGCAATAAACCTCAAGCCTCAAATCAAAACCCTCTGGAATTTTATGCGGCCCGAGGCACAATTGCCTGACCATGAGCCGTAGGTGCAGTCCTGCTGCATCATCTGGGCATGGGTGTAGCCTCCTAAGTCAAAAGGACTTGAGTTTGGACCACATCGAAGCCAGTTTCGACAACATCGAAGCCAGGATCCCAACGCCCTTGAATGTGAAGGGTTGGACAATGTAGGTGCCTGGTATTTAGAATATGTAGGACTTTGGGTGGAGGGGAGATGTTGTACTAAGGTTCCTATATGGAGACTATAACTGGCCACAGTTTTCCAATTGTCTCCGACCCCCCGACTAACGGTGTGTCCTTCGAGCTTCGAAGTTCACATCGTCTTGCCTGTAGGCTGTTGCTGGGTTGTCTGATCAAACGGATGTCCACAAGTGCGCTGGGGCTTTTGCCTCTGCTCTGCGACCTCCACTGACTGACCCCCTCCCTAATAGACTATGTGCAGAATCGCAAGTCACCGTGATCATTATCAAACTCACCCCAACCCTTCAACGATACGATTCCATTCTGAACCACCGCAATTGCGATCAACATTCCAAGGGCTTCATTGTACCGGGTAGCCAAAGCTGGACCCACCGGAATGATGAAGAAGGTGGCTGGTAGCTAGTCCTGGCGAGAAAGAACGGTCCCTGCAGCCTGCAGCCGCCGCCGTTCTAGCTCCGGTGACCAAGATGCGATTACGCCGTGAGAGCTCCTTTCATCTCCTTTCACACTGGAAACGAAAAGGGGACGATGAGCAACATGAAGGTACATAGGGTTTCTCTCAAGTTCGGAGCCTAGCTCCACCTTTCCCTAGAGCGTCGCAACTCGGGACATCCTTTTCCCAGCAGGCCTGCCAAGATTCCAGCACCGCCAGCCAAGGCAATCTTCATGCCACTCCCGGAGCTGTAAGCATTAGCACCCGTGTAGCCGTAGGATGTGCCTTCGGTGCTGGCACAAACATACGGCCGAAGCATGACGTCCAAACAGAGCTGTAAATGGGCAGAGCCACGAGCACAAGCCCGGTTGCCATCGCCACGACGCGAACCGCGCTATCCATTCCTCCATGCTGCTGCGGTGCTCATGGGCATGTGCCCGCCATAGTTGTGGTACGCATAGTTTGGGTTGGTGTAGCCTCAAATGACAGACATCGCAAACGCTAGCAGGGTTCCAGTATGCAGTCTAGAGTGACGCAAGTTCATTACCTTTTCCGATGGCGGGCGATAAGGAATGGGTGTCATGGTGAATCGTATCTGTAACGCCTAACGGCTCTGAAGCCCAATACGAAGCTCGTTTACTTCAGGGGGGCGGCGAGTGCCGCAGCACGAATTCCAGGCTCTGTGTTAACCGTCCTCAAGAAAGACCACGAAAAGGCGCTGAATCTTGGCCAACAGAGGATCCTGTGACTACTGCGGGATCAGAACGGCAACCGCCAAGTGAGATCCCACGACCCTAAGCAAATCATCCTCCGTCACTGAATCTCACAACTTGATCGCATGCGGTCTTCTGTCTCCACGTGGCCGTAGTTCCCAATGCTTGGGCTCAACGGGTTGGAGTAGTGATTGTTGGGAACGAAACTGCCGCTGCCACCTTCCGGCCAAGCAAGAACACGTGTAACAACTGTGCTGCGTCCACTTTTATCAGCAAGCTCGAGTACAACGAATCCGGATGCCGGTCAACTAACTGAACGCAGGGTATAAGTTATAAGGTTGAACCGAAGGACAGGTCTCTGAACTCTCCCCCAAGTCCATGTCACAAAAAACTGGTACTTGGTGGTTGGCAGCAAGTTGCGAGGGGGACTTTGCTCCTTGGCGTCGCAGTTTTACTCTGCTGCTCCTTCGCAGTGCTTGGAGAGACCAGGAACCAACCCATTGCTCATCCCTGTTTCAAGCAGCAGTTGGGAGTACCCTTTGCAACATTTGTTCAGCGGGCCTCTGCGGCGGCGCGGGGAGAAGAATGAAGATCTTCTTCGCGTGTCAGTCCTCAGGTCCGAAGCGAACGGAGAATGGCAGCATCACATAGTCAGCCGATCCTTCATTGTCATGAAAGGCATATCTCTAGCCTTTTGCTTGAATGGAAGAATGCTGCTTCCCATCTGCCCCGGAGAAGAATCAACTCGGGATCAACCTACCCTTCGCCGGAAACCTGATGCTGGATCCAACAGAACTCATCGCTGGCGAAGGCTTAAAAGTCCTTGGGGCCCCTGGGGCTGCAACAACTCCACACATACAAAAGGATAGAAGCAGCAGCAGCAGCAGCAGCACCAACCAACCAACCAACCAACCAACCAACCAACCAACCAACCAACCAACCAACCAACCAACCAACCAACCAACCAACCAACCAAACAACCAACCAAACAACCAAACAACCAAAGAACCAAACAACCAAACAACCAAACAACCAAACAACCAAACAACCAAACAACCAAACAACG